CATACACACAAGAACAAGGATATGGATTATAGTAGGTCGTCAGGACAAGAGGTCTTGTGCTGAAATAAAAGAAGAGTAGTACAGATGACAGTGGAGAGGTCGGCAGAGAAGGATGTACTTGACTGCAGAAAACTAAAGAACGATCGAAGGGACAGAAACACAATACCGTACTTCAAGTTTATGTTAATTGTCAGGATTGAAAGTTCGTCTATTCCGAATGACGGTAAATTTAACGATGAAAGTTGTATGTTGATGAAATCCATGTAATTTTGTTGCTCCCATTGGTTTCTTTACTTTTCCTATTGCTTCGTTTAATGATTGTTCTCCAGGTGCATTAAATGCCCCTCGAATCATAATCGTCGTTGTTTTATGATTTCCTACCATTTAGTTTCGTTAGTGAGTTCTTATAAAGTTTGATTTATTATTTTATACGGCCATTTGAGTATTCTGTGGAGGAGGTTTCTGTGGAATCGATCAATCTTCTCTTCGTCGATTTTGTTTAAGGCCCACACTTGCTGTTTTATGCATATTCTGATACTATCTAATTTTTAGGCTTATGTGTTTACATGGTATTGATTGTTATATTTTGTATATATGTTGTATGTGTTAAAAGCGACCTACGAAAAGTGGAGAATCAAGAACCCAAGAAGGGAGAGATAAAAATTAGATTTAGTGGACGATGACGTTGATGTATATACCACATAAATAGTACAGACTTATAAACAGTTTAAATATGCGTTTATTTGTACGTACACAAATGTCGGGCACATCCTGGGGCCACCTTTAGTTTGGAAACGAATTCCAGTCTTTAATTGTATTGTAAGCGAAAAAGAATATTTTAAGGATCCAATTCAGTTGGCCACTTATGAAGGCATCAGCTTCTAAAATCATTACCGATGACTACATCACAACACTAATGCGGCTGCGACGTTTCATAGGACAATGCCTTAATATTTCTGGCGGAGACAGATGGCGCTGTTTACAATCCAACAAAACATCCATGGACATCCTACAATTGCATAAATATATTTTCGTTTTTGAATCCATTGCTGAAATACAAATTCAATACAAAAATATTATGTATTTTTGTATTCGAATATACTTTATTTAAGGAAACAATTCAAATATAAATATCTGTCCCTTTGTGTAGTTGAATTCTTTGCTCAAATACAAATTATTATAATACAAAAATATGTTTCTGTATTTGAATACTTTGCTCGAACTTGTATGCAACTGTCAAAAAAGAAAACCCAGAAATAGTAAAAAAGGAAAACATTGTACTATTAAAAGGTAATTTTTATTTGCAAAATCTGTACATTTATATGCTACAAAAAAAATGTAACAAGCATTGAAACATCTACAATTATTAATTTTTAAAGATGTACTGTCTCTTGTAAAATCCCGAAGAATACCTAAGCAAATCAAATTGTCCACTTACGGGAACCAACAATTACGTTATCAACTTCGAATAAAATATTAGAACAGGAAAATTTGACATAGGCCGGAACTCATTGCATTGCATGACCAAACTGTCAGCCGATTGTTGGTGGCATTCTTACCGGATCGTTATCATTATTAAAAATGATCCATTGAGCCTGCATGATTGCGTTGCTCCACATAATTGCGTCGGTAATTCTTCTCAATTAAACAATTTAATGAATAAATATAATTTAGCTTTGTAAAGCATATTCACAATTTTACATGATTCATGCAAATGTTAATAAATTACTAAAATGTTAATTACAAATATACTGCCATGAAATCCCAATAAATTTAAATTGTTTAACTGGAAAATTTCAATAGCTTTTACTTCTAACTAAAAATTACAACCAGAAAAGAAAATCCTCACTAATTAATGGATATTAATTATTTTTACTATAGTGAAATAGCAAATTTAGGTTTTTTTCTAGTGAGTCTTATTAAATAATTGAAAAAAAAAAAGATTTTTTTTCTGCATCTATTAATTCAAAATTGATAACTTGCGATATTGATTTTTTTAACAAATAAGTGATTCAAAGTTATATATGAATTTTTTTAGGTTTTCTCTATGGTGGCAGTAATCTTTAAACATAGAATACATAGGAATTATCAATTTATCGCATATAATTATGAACTATAATAAAACAGATATTATAAACCAGATCTCCATTTTCATATGGAGCATGATTCGAAAGGGTAGAGGGTGCTATTCAATACCAGTTGTTTAGCAATAATGGAGGTACATTAACCCCCAAAATCAATCTCTTGACCAATCAGAAACTACTTTATATACGTAAATAACAACATCACACATAAGTACATACTACTTAATTTTCTGATTGGATACAAAAATCTACCCAGTCTGTAAGATAAGGGGGTGTTCTCATTTCTTCACACTCTTATCCCAAGAATAAATCAGTTATCAGTTCTGTCTATAACAAAGTAGTCATAAATATTACTGTTGAAAAAAATTTTAACAAATATCATTAAACAAAATTTTTAAAAAATAAATAAATTAGCACCTATTATAATAATTGTCACCATTTTCATTTATATTTTTACAATTACTACATTTATTACTGTATTTAAGTAGAGTTTCCCATCATTGTTTTATAGGAGTGAACAATTTCCATAAAAGAGATATGCTTACACGGTGGGTAAAGCTTTCTTCCGAAAATTAGAAAACGAAAATTCATAATATTTCATAGATTATAAGTTTAAACTTGATATTAGGAAATATCTCCATCAGTGTTGAAGGAACCTCTTCGTGTCAAGTTCAATACAATATCATATACTGTAATATATGAATTTATTGCTGAATTTAAAATATTTCCCTATTCAAGAGAATGTACTTGCTCGTACAGTAGCTTAATTGAGTAGTGCACCTGACCGGTAATTGGAGGGCTAAGGGTTAAAATCTTGATAGGGGGAGAAATTACTTTTTATTAAAAAACTAATTACAGCAACTATATTTTACATAGTATATCAAAAAAAGATTACAAAATATAGTTTCTACTATATATGCAGGTCTAATTTTATAACATTTAAAATGTCAATTTAATTGACAATAAATATATGTGAGGTCTCACCATGAAATGAGACGCATCGTTGGTGAAATCATATCGAGATATTCACCAAAACAGGCTAAATTCAACATTTTTACAAAATTTTTATTTTAATGTTTTTTTGAATAACTTGATACTTATATTTTATATTTTCTTGCCAAAACAGTGTTCTCTGCACATATTCTGTAATTCTAGTCATATGATTTGTACAGGTTAGTTTATCTTTGAGGCTGATTTTCTCAAAATATGGTTCGTATACACCTAAACTTTAAATGCTCACATCTCTGGATTTACTTATAGTAGGGAAGCCATTCAAAGACCAAATGAAAGCTTATAATGTGATCTACACAAATATAATATAAACTCAATTTTTGAATTTCTAACCATGAGACTCCTTTTATGGCGAGACCTCACATATTATGTCATATTTATATAAGCCTTATATTAGAAAGGCATTCATTTTAACACCATTAGAACACATTCAGGGTACCTGTTATTGGTACCGGGTTTAGTGGGTGTTGCATGGCCACCATCTACCTGCAATTCTACTCATTCTTGGCATCTTTCGTGCTAAAACTCACTTGAATTGTTAGTGTTAAATCTACTTTATCTAAAGCTTCTTCACTTCTTCCCCCAAATTTCCTTCTTACAGATCTTTTTACTTTTATTTGCCTTCTTGGGTGGAGGTGCAGCTCCTGCCTGCATGTGCCGACCATATAAACTGAAATTTAAAATATATGTATACAGTACATCAGAAATTAAAATACATTAGAAACAGTAAAATATATTTATATTTTAAATGTTGTTGTCATCTAACAGCAAGATTGTAATGCACTATATGTCTTATAAAATATGAGGCTGAAGAAGTTGGATGTCCTTTACAGTTATATAATGGTATGCATGCACATACAAGTGCGCTAGTGTACCGGATTGATTGAAGTACACCGTGTCACAGTAATTATTTGGAACTGAAAATTTCATTACACATTATGGATTGGATGTGTAAACACCAAGGATAAACCCACGAAAGTCTGAAGAAGACTCATTTCCAGTGGGGTCATTCTGGTGGTGATTGGGCAGTACACCGGGAGATAATCTCCTTACTCTATTCCGAAGAGTGTACTGCGTTCTTTAAATGCACCTGGGTCAACTTGTTCAGTGAAAACACAGTGCCTAGCACCAGTTTAACTGGCTGAGCTAAGCTGCTATCTAATGATTCAAAATGCAATAACCTAGAAAATATTTTATATAAAATATTCCAAGAATTTGTGAGATTTCTTGATTCCATTTAGGAATCCAGATTCATGATCTTATTTTCGGAATGCTTTTCTTGCAAAACTGACAGGATAAAGCAAGATAATCTCTACTTCATCGTATATATTATACTATTTATATCTATAAATAATCTGTTACTTACTATTTATATGTATCTGAACGAATGTATTCGAAGACATGAGAAACGCCAACTTGAAATTGGTCTAAAATGGGAGGTACCCAGGGGTTGTTGTCTGCCCTGAATACGGCTTGGTTTGAGTACAAATCAAGTTTACCTATAACAAATATTAAGATTAATAATAACAACCTTGTATTATCTAAAACAAATAAATCTATTTTAGAGGGCTCATTCTTTTTATGGCAATAATTCACATCCAATCCAGTACGCATCATTACACCAACTGGTCTTCCGTGGCTAAAGGCTGTTGACCTATAACACCAGATGGAATGTCACAAATTAAATTTGAAAGAAAATCTGATGGGAATTTTCTTACACTCTGTCCAGATTACATAATTTTCTTTAACAAAAATATGTTGTATACTTAGGTATAGTCATGATGTGCCTATATATGGTCATGGTGTGATGTCATCATGACCATATTTAGGCATGTCACATGTTTTAGTCAATTAAAATTTGATAATCTGGCAGAAATGTGTACACCCACTTGTCTCATGGAAACAGAGCAATCTAACATTACATTTTTTTTCTAAAATGAAATAATATTTAATTTAAATCCTGTGTTATTCTCATCTTACCAAGCTCGGGTGGTAGAACAGTGAGTCTGTTGCCTTGTATGTGTAGCTCACGTAACATTGCCAGCTCACCGATTGCTTGTGGTAGAGATATAAGATCATTGTCCCTAATAGCAAGCTAGTTGGGATAAAAGTTAAGAAAAATTATGACCATGTTTAGCATACCAGTAAGGCATAAATTAAAGTTCATAAAATATGTTTAATAATAATAATAATAATAATAATAATAATAAGCAGTTAATAGTAAATACATTGTCTGTGGTACATGTTTTAAAAACTTCATAATAATTGAATAAAACATTGAATTTGCTCATTTACAAGGAGCAACTAATTTCTCAACCTTTTATATTCTTTATATGCAAGGGTCCCAATTTTGGAAGTCAATTCACTGGGCCGGCAGAACATATTTCAAAGTGAAAGGGCCCACTAGTAAGATGAATGGGAATATGAATCGCAAGGGAGCGCTTGCGCGACCGAGCAGCTCACGGGTGGGGCCCAGGGGATCCACCCTTGGAAGCTCTGGGGTTTAGACATTTTAGTTCAGTTTGGCTGGCTTATTTTGCATAGCTGAAAATGTATCTCGGTTAGGGACTGGATAAACAATCTCTTTCCCCTCCCTCTCCTCCTTCTTCCCTTTACAGGGGCGGATCTGGGTTCAATTTGGGGAGGGGTAAAAAACCCCACAAAGAAAGGGGGTCTGGGTTCCCCTGGGTAAATTTTGATTTCTAGATGGCGGGAAATTAGCTTTCCCGACTACTGAGGTGACTTTTAAGTTCTTCAAAATTCAAGGTTTTCTCTCTCTTAAAAACAATTCCATGAATCAATGAACACTAAAGAGAAAGGTGGATTCAGGTTCTAGCCGGGAAAATGTTTCTTTCACAAATTCTGATGGTCTTTTAATTACTTTTTAGTTCAAAATTCAAGGTTTTAGTCCCATCTTGAAAACAGTCAGGTAAATTTTTCTTATTCATATACAGTAAATAGGCCTTATGTATGTATGTATACATACATAAAAAAAAAATGAATAGTTGCATACATAGGCCTATTCTTTTTTCCCATAAATCGATAAATCCCAAAAAGAAAGGGGGGTCCGGGAAAATTTTGATACATAAATGGCAGGAAATGAGCTTTCCCGACTTCTGAGGTGTCTTTTAATGACTTTTAAGTTCTTTAAAACTCAAGGTTCCCCCCTCTTGAAAACAGTTCCTCCGGCCATGATTCAAATAGATGGTTTAATCAGCTTTTGTAAAATGTTATTCTATTTTGCTAGACGTGGTGATATCCACTGCCAGCTAATTTCAACAGGAGACTTCTGACCTCCTGCATTACACAGAAAAGAAGACAAGGGATGAACCTTCCATTATCAGGTGACCCTCCACAATCAGTTTATTTCTACACCATTACACACTTGCATACCTGTTTCAATTGGGTCAGCTTGCCAATTTCCTCTGGAATTACTTCAAAGTCATTATCACTTAAGTATAAGGCCCTCAGAGTACCTAAAACACAACATTAATCAGAAATTGTTTATACCACTGACTCCTGATACTTGCTTCCCTGCTTTGTTTTGTTAGTTTCAAGAATATTAATTGGCTTACTTTAATGGATAATGCCTTTAAGTTTCTTCTTTTTCTCTAGTGACTTTAAAGCATTTTTAAGAATGGATATAAACGTTATGAATATTTTATAATTATTTATAATGTTAAAAATCTTTAAACAGTGTTAGAATAAAATTGTTATTGTAAATTTTAAAAAATAAGTTTGGTTAAATAATAAAGAATGTCAATAGAGCTTGCTTAGGTTTACATAAAACTCAGGCTCCGGAAGAAAAACCAAATTTTGATATGTTGAAGAACTGATATTTCTAAGACGGAAAAAAGTTGTTTGACAAAAAACTGAGGAACGGTAAATGAGATACATATTTTTAAATACAGTATTTAAAAACTGGTAGAAAAAGGGGTGTCAAACAATTTTAATGTGTCTTTGAAAAATCAGTTCTACAACATATCAACAAATTTTTTTCCTCCAGAGCCTGACTTTAATGAGCATTATAATGTTAAAATTATTTAGTGTTTTATTTAAAACTTACCTAAGAGGAAGAAGTTTTTACTTAAGCTGTTTTCACTCAGGTTATTGTAAGTCAGATCAAGCACTTCAAGCTTCGGGAAAGCCCCGAATCCCCTCGGAAGGTGGTACAAACGGTTCATCCTAGTACAAAAAAAAACAAAAAACAAACAAACAATAAGCATAAATTGAAAATAATACATTCGTATATTGTATATATATATATATATATATATATAAATATATGTTCCTATATTTGAGGACAAGTTTCCAGGGGTTCCCAGTTGGGAGTCACTTCCTGGAGGTTTAATTAAATGCGCTTTCTTTTAAAACATCTAATTTCACTTTACTGCGCACGGTGATACCCATCGGCACTGACGTCCGTGAGACATTGATAATAAAGCAGTAAAAACATGCAAAAACTATGAATTCGTGGGAGATGGGTTTTCAGGGGACTTCCGTGAGTTGCAGGTGATGTGGGACCCCTAAGTTTCCATCATTTCATATTACTTACTAGAATTCTATCCGGTCTACCCCAACGCTACTGTGCGCAAACAGTTGTATGATGGGGTGATCTAGCTGGATTAATTAGGCCATTGGCTGTCCTGAGGCAAAACAACGTAACTGACATTTTTGTCGATTTTGAGATAATATAATTTGGGAGTATATTTAAAACATGTCTGAATTAAATGTGAAACTTTCAGGTCTCAATAATGCGTCGTATTAGAGATAGCAACACCTATCTATAAGCACAAAACTTAAAATCTAGTTGTTTTCCGTGGCAATTCAACGTAACTACAAGATTACGGGGCAAAACGACGTATCTACGATAAAGATACGTTGTTTTGCCTCAGAATGGTATTCAAAAATTGTCTTGAATAATATTTATTTTTACACATGACTAGGTGAGTTGTTATGCCCAACTCAGACAGCATCGAATGACGCAGTTCGATGCAATTTGGCCGTTGTGCAAATATTAACATATTTAATATTCTAAGACGCAACTGTTGCTGATGCAGACCTATCGCGTTGATGTTTAACTCACGCTGATGCAGACCTATCGCGTTGATGTTTAACTCACACAGACCCAACATGACAACAAATCGCGTCGGGGCTGTGTCGTACGACGCTGTCCGGGTTGGGCTTGAGCAACTACACTCAAGGGCAGAATCTGTTATTTTTTTCAGTCTTTGTCCTCACCCTACATTGAGCCTTTTCAGGTTTTGCATGGAACTGAAGTTAGTTGGTAACTCTTCTATGTGATTGTTAAACAGATTCAAGACCTCCAACTTATGAAGTTCTACGACTGCTGGCGGCACACCTAGAATGCAAATAAATTGAGAGTTTGTTTAGTAATCTGCATTAGGACTATTGGTTAAAGTGTTAATGTGTATTGTGATGTCATTGGACCATATTTAGGCATATCACATGTTTTTGTCAAATAAAATTGGATAGACCCGGGACAGGGCTTAACACACATTTAGTAAGTGTCATTATCTTAATTATAATACTTGAAATATAAACATATTTTGAAGTTAATTGTTTACTTTGGTTATTAGTTTTCATTTGAAAATAGCAAATAACAGTATTTTCCTTGCCAAGTGCAGCATATCATTATGAATACAGTACATGTCGACCCTGCTTCTCAAACTTTGGGTCGTGACGAATAGTTTAGGACACAGAGATGTAGACTATTAAATTGGCTGGTAAGCGCTAGTAAGCAGTCAGTAAATTTGGAAAATTTTGGGGGGGATTTGTGTCTCATTGGGAGTTGGATTAAACTGATTTGAGGTGAATTTAACTACCTTGAGCGCGATTACTTTTTTGTCTTCGAACATTTTCAATGGAGGTGGAGGCAACTGGGCGTGACTAATTTTTGGGGGCGCTCCCCATGCACCCCCAATATACACCATTGCAACAGACACGTCTTAAAATTAATAGCTTGAATATTTACACCGAACATGGAATAGCATTTACCATGTGGACATTTCGATCTGTCATTCAGTGGAACTTTTTCAACCGAATGATGGTGTTGGGGGGTGTGGTGGAGTGAAAATAATATTACAATCAAAATATTTTATGAGCATGTCATTCTGTGAATCCGTCAGTTGGTTAAGTGTTTTCAAAATGGCTCTGATATAACAATGTAGAGCAGCGGTTCACAAACTATGGTTCATGACCCAAAATTGGGTCGTAAAATAAATTTTGAGGGTCATGAGACACTTTATAAAGTATTTCAAAATTGAACTTTATATTCTATTAAAATTTTAATGCATTACAGTATGTGCATTCCCCTGTGCATTCTAAATATCATTTATAAATTTAACTTCAATTTTGTTTACCAGTTGATCAATTATAAGTAGGGCTAGGTCCATCTGATTTTCAACATGCCAAAAAGTGGGTCACAGCAAATTGGCTGGATGTTTGTTTGGGGCCATCGGCCAAAAAGTTTAAGAACTGCTGATTGTTGTAGAGTGTTGTGCGACTACTTTACTTACTATCGATTTTGTTGTGGCTCAATGTTAGCCTTGTCAGATGGTCTGCCAGTGAAACTATCAAAAACAAATGTTGACAAAATAAAAAGTCATAAAACATTAAAATGTTTGTCAAATACAGTAGAACTATGAAATTACAATAAATATTACAGTATTTCCAAATAAGAACCACATAAAATGCAGAGCACCCAGACATAACTGTTTGTCATTTGTTGTTATGTTATTAACTGGACTGTCACTGAAGAATAAAATAATATCAAACCGAACTGTAACACAGGACTACTATTATCATTAATCAACGATGCATTCACTTTAAATATAAGAGACTATCACTGAATGAAGTGACTAACAAACCTCCATCATCAAAACTTACAGAGAGATGGGATGTCCAATATTTTACTGATGTTTTTATCTGACAGGTCCAATTCAGGGCTTCTATGATTCTGGGCCTCGTCAACTTGCTTCTTTATGGATTTTGACATGATAGAATTTGAAATAAGAAAATAATAAAGAAAAATAAATGGGCAATATCAGCGTAAACAAACTTGGCTGTTCTGTTTTAACCAAACTTATGTTCGGGTGGATACAGGAAGTACCTACTACAGCGAGTTGGTCGTGCACAGTCGCATTAAAAATGAGATCTGCATTTCAATATTTAATGTAATCACATTAGTATATAATCGTATACAAAGAATAAAAATATATATTTTTTAAACATCTGTATTGTAAACAATCAATTTTTTGTTAATATATTGTTATCAGGTGAAATGCGTATCGATATCGAAGAAAGTAATTCGACTCCCATGCAACATCAGTGACAAACATGGCGGCGACCGGAGGGAAGGACATTTTCCGAATTATTCAAATTCTTTCATTTGACTTCAGTTGTTCAGAAGGTGAGGATTTTTTATATAAAGCTATCGGTTTTGTGATTCGTTCGCCTTATTGTTCGTGGGTCCTTATCTTCAGCAAGGACTTAATTTGTTTCTTGAAACCCAGGGCCCTAGGCCTAAGCCTATGCTAGGCATCATAGGCCCCTCAATCAACGTGGTTTGTTTCCACAGCCAGCCCAGGAGCATCATCCCCATCATGCCTATGCTAGGCCTAGTCTAGTCATTATGTATGGGCGGCTTAGGCCTATTATCAACAATCTGCCTTTTTAACATTAATATTGAAATATTTTTTAAAAATTAATATAAGGATGTGTGTAGTCCTAGGCCTAGCTAGGTAAGTCTAGCCTAGGCTAGGCTCTAGTCTAGGCCTAGTAGTAGGCCTAAAAAAATCCCGATTTTAAATTGAATAATATTAATAATAATTTAAATCTTAGGCCTAGCTAAGCCCAGGTAGGCATGCTCTAGGACCTAGCTAGGCATATTTTTAAATTAATTAAATTTTTAAAAGATTTGTTTTCGTTTTTTGGTAATGCCAAGCTTGATTTGAATACTTTATTTCAAAATAATTAAATAACAGTTCTTCTGATTGTATTGTAGGCCTAGTACTGAGTATATATAGGCCATAGTACTATTATTTATTTACTGTAGTTTGGTATTGTTAGATATAGGCCTAAGCTAGTGAAATATGGAAAATGGCCCATTTAAAAAAAAAATGTTCTTGGCTATTTGCCATTGGCAATACTTTCTTGAATTCCTTGGTCTAAAAATTACAAAAAATGAAAAGTTTTAGCTTCCTACCTTTCCAAGACACATCATTTTGGCATTGATTTTACCCACAAAAATTAGTGTTTCTGACTTCAGAGCTTCATATTCAACTATCCGTGGTTGAATAAACTTGAATTTAACATTTGGTGTTGATCATCAGAGGAACGCAGCTTGTGCCAAGACTGTGCTGTTATGATTGGTCCATGACAGAGAAGGCCACACCAGGACCCCTACAGTGATTGCCTTTTATTTTGGTTTACTGAAATAGCAGCAAGCATGTGTATAGAAGGATCACAATTCACTGCTGGGTATTGTGAGAATGTGCATTGCCCCATGACCAAGCAAGACGCCATGGAAACAAGCTGGGTTATCGTTTTCTTTTATACTGTATGTCAGTTTGCCTTGGGTAGATTTCTGAATATACAGTATACCTGACTTGATTGTTGTTTAAGAAACTTTATACATTGTATTGTGCATTAAGTGTATTGCCTTTGGCATTATACATTTTTGTGGTAATAATAATAATAGCATTTTAATGTTTTATTTTCAGCTTGTGAATTCACTTGCATTGAAGAATGAAAATAATAAAAATGTATGGGAGAAGGATTGAAACACGGACAGGAGACTTCAAGACAAGGAAGCACTAGAAAAATGCTACAATGGTTAGTACTTGCTTTTCTATTGCTCAATACTTTATTAATTTGTTTTGCTTATTGCCAAATGCATAAAATCAAGGTACTGTGTATAAAACACTCTATTATTTTAAAGTGGGCAGAATTGCATCATATCATTGATACTATATATATATATAATATATTATAGATGTATTTGCCTAATTTCACTAGATGTATTTGCCTAATTTCACCAGTTCAAATTATATTTCTGTTTTATATGAATGGACAATAAAGAATTCAGATTAAATTACTTAATGATTTTTTTTGTCATTTTCAAGGAACAATACATCTCTAAACAAATTAAAAATGTCGATGATGTGAACAAGAATCTGAGACTAGCTGTATTACGGAAGTTGAGATTTCATTCATTGTCATTTACATTGCTCATCATTATTAAACATTTTCATTTTTCATACTTTATTCTTCATTTCATTCCATCTCAATCTCCTGTAATGAGTCTGTGACCAATGATTATGAGAGCTGAGGACACCAGTAGAAAGTCAGTGTAACATACCGTTGATACTTGTTTATGCTAATACATGTTTTTATGATAAATGTTTTCCAGATTGTCGTAAATGCTGTCATCCTGTACATTCGCCGCTAGCTGAACGTCAGTCTGGTTGCCAGTTGAAGTTGTGTAGACCTTCAGAAACCAGGTCTGTTTATGTTTAGACACTAAACTATACATAAAGAATTAAAAACAACTACCATAGTTAAATACCACATTAAATAAGGGCTTAATACACAAGGAAGTATGGTATTTAAATAGGTTTCCAAAGCAATTTTAAAGTAAAAGCGGTCTTGAGAAAATTGGCCTTGGCTTGTACATACAATTTATAAATTGAATGCTACAATGGAAATTGGCTAATGCAGAGATAAATGCTTCCAAAAAAAACCCCAAAATGAAAGGGGGTCCTCCCCCGTGAAAATTTTGATTCCTAGATGGCCAGAAATGAGCTTTCCCGACTTCTGAGGAGCCTGTTAATGACCATTAAGTTCTTCAAAATTCAAGGTTTTCCCCCTCTTGGAAAAGGTCAGGTAATTTTATCTCATTCTTTAGGCCTATCATAGAGGAAAAAATCAGTCTATGACACATGATTATGAGAGCTGAGGACACGTTTTGTGGAGAGCTCTGTCCAAATTAACAAATTTTCTTTACCGTTGTATGATTTGCTATATATAGTCATAAAGAGATTTCATGATGACCATATTTAGACATGTCGCATGTTTTTTGTTAAATAAAATAGTCTGGATCGTGCTTCTATACAGTATTCCCAATTTGTGGTTTGGATTGATGGTAGGTATTAGGTCTGAGGGTGAATTAATTGTATGTTATTGTAAGAATAATTTCCTTTTGTTTATAAGATGTGTATAAGAGACAGCTCCTGTAATGAGTCTGTGACCAATGATTATGAGAGCTGAGGACACCAGTAGAAAGTCAGTGTAACATACCGTTGATACTTGTTTATGGTAATACATGTTTTTATGATAAATGTTTTCCAGATTGTCGTAAATGCTGTCATCCTGTACATTCGCCGCTAGCTGAACGTCAGTCTGGTTGCCAGTTGAAGTTGTGTAGACCTTCAGAAACCAGGTCTGTTTATGTTTAGACACTAAACTATACATAAAGAATTAAAAACAACTACCATAGTTAAATACCACATTAAATAAGGGCTTAATACACAAGGAAGTATGGTATTTAAATAGGTTTCCAAAGCAATTTTAAAGTAAAAGCTGTCTTGAGAAAATTGGCCTTGGCTTGTACATACAATTTATAAATTGAATGCTACAATGGAAATTGGCTAATGCAGAGATAAATGCTTCCAAAAAACCCCCAAAATGAAAGGGGGTCCTCCCCCGTGAAAATTTGATTCCTAGATGGCGAGAAATGAGCTTTCCCCCTCTTGAAACAAGGTCAGGTAATTTTATCTCATTCTTTAGGCCTATCATAGAGGAAAAAGACAGACAATATATTATTATATTCCAACAACATTAAGTAGTCGGATATATGTAGTCTTTCTTTCATGGATTAATGACCTGATAGGCCTGAAAAACACACTTTTGTACATAAATTATTACGACGGCGAACCAAAAACAGTGTATAATTTAATTGAACACTAGTTGGGCTTGTCTGATCTTCCAACCTATGCCTAGGGTTAGACTGCCTTTTGTAAGCCAAGACCCAATTGTATTTTGTTACATTTCTTCACAGAGGGGGTTTGTCCGAACACCTTGAACCCCCCCCCCCCTGGATCCGCCACTGATATTCCCTTTGCTATACCAATTTACAAGGCAAAAATATGAAACCTCATTCCTTAATTGTTTACAGACTAAAAACAAGATGGCAGCTGATGTTTTTGATTTGGAGGACCAAGACTTGTAACAGCTGGTGGGATTGTGGCAAAGGCTGTTCTAGCGATAAAAAATAAGTAAGCTTTACAACTATACTCCACATAGTTTTCTTATGATGGGTCTTGCTACATGTGTTGCCTCTTATTAGGAATTAGGACCAGAAAAGTGTAAGAACAATTTTCTAAAAAATAAAAATTTTGTTGTAAAAATTACTATTAGACGAGCATTGTGGCGATTATATTTCGAGTATTTTGTCCGATGATGAGAACAATAATCTGAGACCAAAGCGCTGCAAACCTCTATCTTTAATCCTAGACTTGCTCTTTTTACTCTATTCTGTTTTTCAACCTTAATTCTCCAAAATTCTTATTTATTTCTTTCCTTCCTTCTGATGTTTGTAGTCTGTCTATGACACATGATTATGAGAGCTGAGGACACGTTTTGTGGAGAGCTCTGTCCAAATTAACAAATTTTCTTTACCGTTGTATGATTTGCTATATATAGTCATAAAGAGATTTCATGATGACCATATTTAGACATGTCGCATGTTTTTTGTTAAATAAAATAGTCTGGATCGTGCTTCTATACAGTATTCCCAATTTGTGGTTTGGATTGATGGTAGGTATTAGGTCTGAGGGTGAATTAATTGTATGTTATTGTAAGAATAATTTCCTTTTGTTTATACATTATGCCTTTACAGGTACAGTATTATTATTTGCTCTTTACTTTTATTTTGCAGGTGTGTGTATTGTCTGGTATAAAAGGATAACTTTTCTGAACAACTTCTGTGGAGTCGTATTGCAAGCTAGACACAATTGAACATCATGCATGATCGACACGTTATGAGCATCATCTAGCAACGTCATCCAAACAATTGCAGATTTCTGCATTAAAAGATCTTCAATTAAATTTATGAAAAAATATAGTTTTCTTGCGCTTTATTCATGAGCACTTATCGAACTATAATCCACTACAGTGCTTTAAAGCAAGTAGTCTCACAGATGGTCTTAATGATCACGCATAGCAACTTTGCTCTGCAGCTCATTTCAAAATGAATTGATAATGCTTCAAGATACCAGCTCCAAATATTGGTTCCAAGAAGAACCTAGCAAATGCGAGAATCTGATCCATGCAACGCAACAAGGACACAATCACAAGTTTAGCTCGCTCAGGATTCATGAATGGCATCTCTCTCTCCAGGACGCCGTACATAAACTACGCCACTAAGCATCACATGACCAATAATAGTTTTGGGTTGTAAAGTGCAACCCAAACAATGTACCCTTAATACAGTGTAGAGGTGTTAACTGAATGGGTTGGCCATAGTTTTGTAGATACTGTATACAGTAGTATAATAATACATGGTCTAAAAAATTGTCTCCTTAATTGAAGTGTCCTAACAGAGGGGTTCTAATGTATTGGCATTCATCAGCAATATGTAAATAATTTTTAAATTCCCAGACTTTCCCTAATAGTGGGCTACCTGTTTCGTCAGCACACCTATTCCCAAGCTAAAATAGCCAAAACCTTGTTCAAAACAATTGAATAATTTTTTTTAGGCAAAAAATCCCTTCCCAATAATCGGTCTTATATGATATAAACTAAAGCTGCAATCGTAATGGATTTCGAATCCTATATCCTCCTCCTGTCGTCCGACTCTGAGACGAGGTGAAAAATACTTTCCCTATCAAAATGCAGTTATTTTTATTGCTAATCCATAATATTAATATTGTGATCTACTAAAAATATTGTGAAAGCGGTTTGGCGCAGCAGGTTTGGTTTCCAAACCTCTAGGTCAGAGTTTCAATCCCACACTGCATTATAAATGGGTACCTGGTGGGGTTGCCTGCTACTACGCCAATATGGCAGCAACACTTACACATGTGGCCCCAATGACCAGGCAAAAACCAAGTTCTTTGTAACCTAAATGAATAGGTGCTACAAAAATGACAAATAACTAGAAGACTCCACATGAACATCACCAGGGATTTTTATTTCGGGATCTAGTCGGCCTCTTGATTCAGAACGCCCGGTCGGCAAATTTCTGGAGCAACCGCTGCCGAGATCATAGTAAACATTCCAATGGAGAATCTTATCACTGTCCACATTTTGATTTTTCAAATTTAGTAAAGTTTTACCATAACCATAACATGCTTAATAAGGGCACTAACTTGTGATCTTTACTTTTGCTTTACGACTGCTGATAGCTAGCTGTCAAAGCAATGTGCGCTTTTTCCAAAACAACTCACTGAGATGCAATGGCCAATAAAGATTATGCCAGTGAAGGCATACTTTTCACTATTTTCTGTTTCTGTCACCCAACAAAACTATCTTTGCAACCTCTATGAAAAACAAATATGTGAGGCCTCACCACAAAATGAGTCTCATGGTTGGAATATCAAAAATTGAGTTTATATTATATTTGAGTAGATCACATTATAATTTGGTCTTTGAATGGCTTCGCTAGGATATGTAGATCCAGAAATGTGAGCATTTAAATAAAAGGAAAAGAGCATTTAAATAAAAGAAAAAAAAAAAAAAAAAAAAAAGAACCACATTTTGAAAAAATTGGCCTCCAAGATAAACTAACCTGTACAAATAATAGGACTAGAATTACAGAATATGCACAGAGAACACTGTTTTAGTAAGAAAATTCACCTAAAAAGTATACAATCATTAAATATAGATGTCCTACTGTATTTTGGTGATTATCTCAAAATGATTTCACCAACGATGCGTCTCATTTCGTGGTGCGAGACCTCACATATTGTTATCTTTGAAGATGTTGTTCAGTTGGTGAGAATGTTAGTAGAAAAAACACAACAAACTTATTACTGTTATTGTCTTATTTAATATGACAACATGACTGTACAGAAATAATGTTGGTACTGTATATATGCAAAAAGGAACTTTTATTCCTGGAGGCTTGTATGCTTTTACCTAAATCTCCTTCCCACCCCTACCCCCAACAATGAACAATATGTGGTGCTGTCAAGCCAAATCAGTCGCTTGTCGGAGATGGAGAAATCAGGCCTAAAGCTTTACACGTTGAAAATTTGAAAGAAAATCAAAATTTATTTATGACTTAAAATTAACATTAAGGCATCTAAGATCCATGCTACAGTAAATTGTCATTTTACGGACGTTATCTCACTGTAAAATGACAAAATCTTGTCAAATCAAAGTCCATATTTACCTGTTTAGTTGCACGTTTCCGATGCTATGCACGTCTCCATTTTGAAAGCAAACTTCTCTATATTTGGTACTAATGTAAAGGGAATTTTTTAAGCTTTCATGTCATTGGTCAATTATCATGATACATCTTCAATCTAAACCAATTATAATGATTTTAAATAGTGTAAACAATTCTGTTCTTCCTTGTGTTTATAACGAAAAGAATTGTTTTCACCATGGAGAGAGAATACCTTGCTAAATAGCAATAGTGTAATATCTCAAAATCCGAATTTCCGATAAACGACTGATTAGGCTTGACCACACCACATATTAATTCCATTGCTTTGTGCATTTCAATTGTAATAAATTTCCCTTATTTCAGGCAACTTGCTTCATATCAAACTATGTTCTTCCATTACAGTTGATAAAAACAGTATTTTCAAAGTCGAAGAGCATCAAAATCCTACCACTGTACCGTGTAATATTTTTCATGTAAATCCTTTTTTTGAAATCTTATTTATTAATTAATTGTTGGCTAGGTTCATCCACAAACAATATCAATAAAAAAAATAAGTTCGTATTTCATATTGTTGACAGTCGCGCCGTAACTTTGCGGTATTCTTCAATGACCTCCTGGTACCACTTCTCCAACGTTTCATACCTTTCCTGAATATCAACACCTTGCATTGCCGCAGTCAATTCTTCCGGTTTCAAAACTTTTTTAAGTTTCTCTAACTCATTACGTTGTTTCTGAAATTAAGAATATTTGATGTTATTTTGGGATTTTATTTTGGTGGAAAAATTAAAATATGTACAAGATAATTATAAAAAAAAAAGGTCCTTCCTCATGATCCTGTTATGTGGTTGTAAAAATAAATGCCATTTTACGATGAAAACATTTCAGTAATTGCAATAATAAATGATGATACAGTATTGCCATTCCACTCAGGAGTCGATTCAACATCTCCGCCTCGGCTGCTCGGTCTGATGATGTTTATTGATTTATTTATTTGTGAGGATGAAATAAAGATTTCATGGTGGAAGCGTATACAATAGCAACATTTTCTTTAGCAAAATATGTTCTTTAAAATTTTCATTTTTTACAGCAGCGGGTACACTAACAGGCAAAAAATTATTACTGGTGGGTTCATGAAACAATATAAATACAGTTTGGCCTAAGCAGCAAACTAATTTCAGTTCATGTCTGATGACCGCCATACCTTCCACAATAATAATGTACAGTGTTTGACGGCTGGTATTTAGCTGCTGTAACTGTTTTTGTTACCAACAACAAGCATTCACTTTTGTTTTAAAAGATAGTGATTGAATAACTTAATCAGGTTTCAGCTAAAACATTGCTGCAGAAAGCATCAAACTTTCAACTTTAAAATATTGACTGTCTTGCAAATACATATTTTTGTATATCTCAGAGTATATTTTTTAGTCTATTCAATCATGATTTGAATTGCCCCAAATAGATTAATAAAAATGTTTAATCAGTGATTCAATATTTAATATAATTTATAATGTTCTATTATTTTACCAGATACTTCTGCATCAATGCTGAACTAGAAAAGGTCACAGTGTTCTCCCAAATGAACATTTTTACTGGTAAATGTGTCCATACAAAGCCAGCTAAGCATGTGCAACGTGAGATATTGCCTCTTGTAAGTGGAGTTCAATGGCTTAAAATAACAATACATGTAATCATAGCCTAGGCCTGGACTGGAATGATGTTCATTTATTGAAAGAAGGCCAGCTTAGGCTACCTATAGGCCCAATAAGTGCTTTTTTTTATTCTACCAACACACAATTTTAATTGGTTGGTCAGTTATTTTTTTACTGGTAAAATTGGCGGCTAAAACGGCTTCGGGAGAACACTGGGTTACTTTTTGTACTAAGGTACAAACCCACTCACAAATATCTCAACAATATACCACCAGACAGCAAATACGTTTACAAGAATGAGATCTATAGATGCAAGTGTTAACAATACCTGAAATGGAATATTAAGTCGTCGTTTTATCTCCAGCCTATAAGCCTTCACTTCCTTTGGATTACTCATATCAGTTGCTTGAAGACGGAGTATCTCATAAACTCTACGAGCTTGTTTCTACAACAACAAATTTTTAAAATCTGTATTTTAATTTCTTTGTTACAGAGTAAGTAGTCTAAAATATAAATTTTTTCAAATATCAGAAAAATACAAAAAAAACCCCAAAAAAAACAGAATCCAGGCACGACTTTTGCTCTGAGAACTCCTACAGTACCCTAAAAGGCCCAGGGGCATTCAAACCCTGCCCCCTACCCAAGGAAAATTTTCTGGATTTTGAGAATTCATTTTAGGCCATCCACACAAACGAGTAGGATGAGTAGGAGAGGAACAAAGGTTTAGAAATGTATACATATACTTTTTTAATATTCAAAATTACATTTATGCACAGGATTTTGGTACTTAGGTGCAAGATAGTCTCCGAATAAGGAAGTTTCTCTGCGAATGTGAGTTTTGTGACTTCATATGTTGTTATACTGTATTACAAATGTACTGTAAATGTCAATACCAAACATTAAATACTAAATACAGGCAAATCTGCTCTAAAGTAAAGTTATTACTCACAAATTAAATAAATGGCAGAAAATGTATACTCCCTCATGGTCTTAAATTTATACCATTATATTCATAGCGTAGTAAGTGCCGAAATGATGTGATGGTTCCCCATAATAAAATTGAAGTTCCCTATTTACTCTCTATTGTTTTATTAGCTATCAATTGAAACTGCTTAAAAATAAAATATTAATAATTAGAAATTCAATCCAATGGCCATAACAATAGGTTGAAATTGCTATTTCACAATGGAAACTGGTATAAAGGGCATAGCAAATCAAATTGCTTGGTGTGAAATAACTTTATGGACACCCAATAAAAATGACCCTGTTGTCTACACATTATAATTCACATTCTCCTGAAATACAGAAAAACACTTGACATCTTGATTCTCAGAAATAAAACCCTTCAAATTTTAATTGATAAAAACATGTGACATGCCTAAATATGGTCATGATGACATCACATCATGACCATATATAGGCACATCATGACTATACATGGGCATACAATAGTTTTTTGTCAAAGAATTTGATAGTGTAAACAGAGCTTAAGAACACAAGCTTTTAATGAATTGTGTAGGAAGAAACCATTTTTGTACCCCTTCACATCAAGTGATAAACAATTTTAAAATGAACTTATTATATCAAATTTATTTATAATTATCATCAATATTATTATATAGGTTACTTTTATTATTAATACCAAGGTGGTACAAAAATTGACCGACATGTGTTAAATCACCGACAGTCATAAGCCAAGACAATTTTGTAGAGAACGCAACCAACCAGCCGCACACAACAGACTGTTTTTAATGACAATCTGCTCAGACTGTCTCCGATAAACAGCAGATGGCATCACATAGTCCATCGCTCATAGTGAGTGGTGATGGATTTGTCGGTTGACAGTTGTGCAAAATGACAGATTGTACCCGACTTTAAAGAATCAATTAACAAAATTTCGAACCTTGTGAATCTTGAATTTGTCTAAAGCTTCATTCTCCATGGAATGCGAGAATCCTTGGGAAAGTTTATCCGCCTGGAATGCCGGGAGCTGCTTGCAGTTCTTGCAGTCGATGTAATCCCGCAGCCGGACAAAGTTGTCAGAAGGATCTTCAACTATTGCAGAGATAAATGTCAACAACGTTCAACCTGCTGTCTTATCAATCATGTTTATTCTATTAATTCAAACAACCTCAACCAGGATTACTTGGGCTTTTTTTTGTTAATTTAGTTATTTTTTATTTGTAAATTTATTATGTACTTAAAACATAAAAATTAGGCATTCAAATGTAGAATTCAATTTCTTCATTTTTATTTAGCTTGTGATAGGCAACACATCTTTGAATAGCATAATTTGATACCCAGGGATCCCAAGTTGGGAGAAATCAATTCCAAGAAATCTGGTTAAAAATGAGCTTTTCTAAAAACATCTAATTATATTTTGGTGTGCATGGATATACATTTGCACTGACTTCGGTGGGAGAATTGATCAGATTTGAGACCCCTGCAAATTTTAAATACTCTTTTGCATTGCCATTAATTAGCTAATGAAAAAACCCACATTTACCTGTAATGTCAAAAACAATAGGATCGGATATGAAATCTCTGTATACAGTCTCAAGGACCTCTGACCCATGACCTTGACGTTGGTATGGAGGAAGAATCAACATTTGACTACAATAGAAAATGTAAATTAATACTATAATTCATAAGGAATAACATTTAAATGTATAATAATTCTAGACCCAAATGATCAGTACTATTTTCAGGTTGATAGCCTAAACCGAGGCTACCAAAATATGGCTGGGCCATGGGGCAGCGTAGGCTGTAATTGATAGAGGCCCAATGACGGGAGTTCGAAATGGGCAAAGACACCTGTGGGGTCTAAGGGTTAAGTCCTAGTGAAAGTTTTGAGGCTATTCTCCCAAAGCTACAGCCACTTATGTATATTGATGCTTAATTAAAACAATTACTACATAAATTAGGTCTTGAGAAAACTGCAATTTTATGTCCTGAGGTCCCAATCTCTCTAGTACTAGTGGCCTAAACCAAAACAGCTCTGCCAAGAACTTAAATAATATATAAATATCTTATATACATCACACTAAAAACACAAACAAACATAAAAATACCTTATTCTCTGTCTGATTTTGTCTGGGTATGCGTAGTATTTATAGACCGTTATGTATCCAACCGAACTATATCGTGTGTTACTGCCCTCAACTTGCCTTTCGAAACTGTTAAATAAAATATAATTAATTGAACAATATAATTAAATACTTAACTTTCTTCTTTGCATATTTAATTAATTTTTAACTAAATCACTGCTTAATACCTTTTCAATATCATTGCATAAAAGTTTTCTGTATTAAAAAATTTTACATTAAATATTGTTACTGTATATTTAATGTAAATGTCACTTAAACGAGTACTAAAAGATTGAGTACAGTGCAAAAAAAAATGTGTAAGCTATGGAAACATACCACAATATTCAATTTAAACATGTTTACAAATATCTTCTAAACTCAAAAGAAGTGAGTGAATTAAGTATATATTTTTAAAAATAAGTTGTTTCATTTTATTTATTTGTCTCAAAAACATTAAAATTCACAAGAATAGAAACAGCAAGGAACAAGTAGAACTGTTAGACAGGACACCTCAAAAGTGAGCTAAGTCACCGTCACTGGGGCCCTTAAAGTGGAGTTCCTTTTTGCCATTAATTTCCTTCAAGCATACAAAATTTATGAACAATAAGTTTTTCTCAAAAAAACCTTTTTTCATATAGCCATGTTTAATATTTATAATCCTGTAAACAATAATGTATGGTACTCACAAAGTGTAATATCCCCATCGCTCGTCATCAGGGTCAATGTAGGAGGCTGCATCTATAAACCACCAAAGAAACGTCTGCAATCGCTCATGGTACTCACGAAAACCAGGTGTCGACATGTCATTCTTGTAGATTTCAAAGTGTGATGTGCTGCCCTCGTGGGTTCTACTGTAGGAATTGAGGAGTGTTCCGCTAGGCCTGAAGCTGGATTCCTTCGCAAGTTCTGTGATGAATTTATCCTTGCTTGTGATTGGATGAACTTCTAATTTGTCCACAATTGCCTTGATCACATTATCAGCCTGTTGGGAAAAAAACCAAAAAAAAAACACCTGTATTATCTTGTTGGTGTGCAGACATATCCCACAAATATGTATTCAGAGTAGTGCTGCACAATGGGTTGGGGCGAAACAGAAGGGTCTATTGAGCTATGAATTATGTATTAGATTGATTACCAAGGATAACCCACAAGTCTAAAGACAGTCAATGGGGCTCTTTCTGAGTGGTAATTGGGCAGAACACTAGGAGACAAACTCCTACTTATTTTCAATTTTCTAATGTGCAAATGGACCATATTTCCCACAGGAGCAATGGCTTAGACACCTCATCCGAAACATCTAGCTGATGAAAGAAAAGGGGAGCAGCGATGGGAATTGAACCGGGAACCAAGCAATCTCTATGGTTCACCGCACTTTCAGTGGCACAACCAGATTTTTTGGGGGCTTTAGACTTTTGTCATGGTGACTTTGTTGCTTTTGGAGCCCCAAAGCACTTGTCTTGAATAAATACATGAAATGAACATAAGCTGCTTTCTCCATACTTGCATCAATGGCTATGCTCTTTTAAACATAATTTCATTCAAAGGATTAGAGCTAGTTAGCAAGATTAATGCTATGGTCTCACACGGCTGCTAACGTTTAACAGGATCCGGATCCTGCTAACCGTTTGCTGCTGTGCGTCCATACGAGAAAAAACCGATAGCGCTTGCTAACCGTTAGCGGTATCCGGATACTGCTAACAGTTAGCGCTACCCGATCGGGCGTTCTCACGCAGGTGCTAGCAGTTAGTGCTAACGGTTAGCTCCCGATCCGGATACTAGGGCTCTCGTGAGAACCAGGCTAATAAGGTTTTTAACCTACTTGAACACCATCATACTTTGTTGGATCAATCTTCTCGGTGAAAGTATGATTTAGATAAATTGATAACCGAGCTGCACTGTAGTAAAGCTGTATCCTAAGATTCTTGTACCCAAAAATGTTTTCTCTGAAAAAAGAAAATTTCAATACAAGATTTAAATTTTTTACTACTTAAGTACTAATAACATTGATCTAAAATATTACCAACATACCAAAATATTAAAATGTTTATTATGAACAGAAAGTTTATACAATCATTTTGAATTCTTATTTGAGTGTTTGATTTTACAATAGGTCTGCGAAGAAATATAGCAGACGCCAAACACATTTGCCTATCAACACTGCTAGGCTAGGATTGGCCTTACTCTCTCTAATCTCATTAGAGAGGGCGCACTTTATTGACTGTATAAAGTATACACAAAAGCGAGAGTATTCCAGCAGATGCAATCTGCCACCTTTTAATTTGCCTAGTAATGAAGAATTCGTAAAGAAAATGGCAATCTTCTATGAAAAATAGTCTTGATTTCTAATTTTTTTTTTTCCTTTTGTGTAAAACTAAAATTAATGCCAACATTTTTCCGTGTTTTATGATAATTAGAGTAATGCATATGCATTTTTTCTAAAAAAAATCTTTTTTCAAGTGAAATTTTGCTGGGAATGGGACTTTAACAGACAAAGAAATATGTTTCTTGTATTCTTTTATATAGACCATTAAATTGGTTGGCAACACACTTTTAAGTATTTTTGTGGCAAAAATGTCTGTAAATTGTCAAAAAGAATTTAAAAAAATATATTTCTGGTTGGAAGTTCATTCCTTATGTGATATTTTTAGAAGAGTTAAGCAGAACTTTAATTATATTATTTTTTTCAGAGAGTATATCTTTAACAGTAGAAATAGAATAATAAAAGTTTAACACATAAAATAAAAGCTCTACTGTAGTTTAATTTAAACTAACACTGAACATAAGATAAGAATAAAAAATGCCTAAAATACCTTTACTTTTACATTAATTTATGGAGTTGGTTTAAGGAGAGCTATACTTCTGTTCTGTTCTGTTTATTGGTTTATCACACAATTTGAAGTACTGTATACAAATGTATGGAAAACATAATAATTATCTTAAATATAGACAGCAACAATCATTAATGAAGGTAAAGTATTGACTTCACAACAATGTACTCTGAGAGGTTGTACTCACGTTTGTCCAAACAATTGGTGAGTGAATTCTGGTCTGAAGATTGCTTTATCATTGAAAAAATCTTCTTCTGATTTGACTGAAAATATACAAAAAATGTTTGAATTAGAGGGCAGCAAAACCATAGGGAAAGAAACCAGTCATTTTGTTGGGTACATTGCTTTGAAAAAGCATTTATACAGGGGATCTACTGTACAGGACAGCATTAAAATTTGCTCGAACCATGATGGGCTGACGTAGGTGTGGACCCATGTCGGGGACCATGGACCTCTTGCCGAGGACCAGGCAGAACATTTTTTTATACGTTTTGAAAACATATTATTTTAAAGATCGTCAGAGGAGGGAAGAAATAAAAAAAATTGGGCTTTTATTTAGCAAAAATAAAATGTTATTAGTGAATACAAACAGTGTAGTAATGGGATGGTTAAATGCTTTAAATTTACAGTAAAATGTCCATTTTATGAACGTCGATTTTACGAAGCCAATTTTAAGAATGGTCTGCCCTGATGACGTCATCACCGATCAATTAATTACCGTAAAAAAAGTCTGAATGTGCACGTTTTACAAAGTGATAATGTATATTTTTCTTGATAAAATCAAGTTTGTTATATATATCTAATAATAATTTGATCTTTTCTTCTATTTCTGGTAAAATAATCATTATATTAATGTAATAAACCTAACCAAACTAATGAACTACCAACGCAAGTGTCATCGGATTGAGAGCACACATACGATGACGAACAAGTGTTGGGGTCACCAACTTTCTGACATCGTGAATGCTAGAAATGATCGCAAAATGCATGTAAACAATGCAATGCGGTAATCTAACAACTAGAAAAAACACAATAGAAAGGTCCATAAAAATATACAGATGTTTGAATAAGAGTTGAAATAACATTTTGTTAAGTGGAAGAATGCCAGAGGTTAAAATAATTTGGTTTTTATCGAAGGTAAATTCAGCTAGGCTCCATGCGCGATAGACCACGCAACTGCACTGTCGGTTCAAGAGGCCTGGCTGCCATCAGCCTATCGTCGCCCAATGGTAGGCGATAGCTAGGCCTAGGTATTGGAAACTGACACCCAATCTAGTTTACAAATTTTTCAATTTACGAACACCCCTTGGTACCAAGGATGTAAAACAGTTTTACTGTACATATGAATAGGAAGGAGCATACAAATCTTATTTTTGGAGATTTCAAGGCAGCAGTGGGCGTAATTAAAATAAATAAAACTTATTTTTTTTATGAAATTTCATTTTTTTGAGCTGGCAGGTTCAAGGCAGCAGCGGGCGTAATCAAAATAAAAAAAAACTTATTTTTTCTGAAATTTCATTTTTCGTGCTGGTAGGTGCACTAATTGCTCAAAAATAAAATTTAATTTTTATTCGAAATCATCATTATAGGTTCGCCACGGGTTTGTTAAACAAGGTATAAAAAAAATTTTGAGGACTTGGATCTTTGTGTGGGGCACCTTAGACCTCTTGTCAGAAAATCTCTGACACTGCCAGTGATAGGCAATAACATAGTTATTTTGTTGCAGCCCACAACACCATATGTGCACCTGACTGCCATCTTTGACCAGAAGACCACTTGAAGTTACAGCCCAATGCCAAACTGAGCATGAAGCAGATAAAAGCAAATGGATTTTGCAAGTACACTGTGAATTCAAATTTGTTACTGTACCAGTTATACTGTAGGCCTATGTCCAAGTTTTTTGAGTGGCCACTTCATCCCTCCAACCAAAGTGTAAGCATAAAGTACACTTTTATAAAAAAGATAAAATGATATCTGAAAAATTATATTATACCTAACTTCATTTCAACAACATCATTTGCCAGGCAGATGAACTGCTCCAGTTCATTTTTTAATGAATTCATATCTAAAAAAAAAAAAGAGAAAAAGATAATTCATTAAACAGTAATAAAAACTAATTAATACAGTTAAACTTGCCTAAGTCGTCTGTGCCGAAGTCAAATAATTTCTATGTCAAACTTATTTTACATGGCAAATAGTTGTGTTTTCCATTCATTGACAGTCAAATTTTATCAAAGTCAAACAATATTTCAATAGCATTTTGGATTCGACTTGGGCAAGTTCAACTGTAATGCATTTCTACATTGTATGTTAAAACTTCCACTAAAGATTTTATTTTCAATTCAATTCAATTTATTGGTCAAACTCATAAAATGGCTTGAAATTTGCTTTGCTTGTCACAGATTAAAATACAAATATGAAAAAGGGTAAAATATACACATTGCCGGTTGATTTTCATACACCTTGGATTTATAGTACAGTAGGCCTACATTCATAAATTCAACTTGCCAGCAAAAGGGCCTTGGCAAATCAGTGCCTTGGTGAGGGCACCGCGACTTGGGCAGACGCTAATTTCGAGCGCTGAAAGTTGAACTCGCATTACAGTAACGTACATTTCACCAGAATCGATAAATTTCCGTGACCGATAATGACTGCGCATGCGTATTTATTTCATGTAAATATATTTTTTACTGATTTGTTTACAGTCACATAAATATATCAACACTGAAGTAGGCCTATGTCTAATGTTAATTAGTTACTTGTAATTAATCAATTAAATTATAATTTAATTAATAAATTACTGTATTGAATTTTAATGAGTTTTACAATTCTTTTTTGTCCTTGTTCAAATGTATGCTTTCCAATGTTTTTTATTTTATTGAATTATGTCTAAAAACAAAGAAGTTTAAGCATTTTTTTAAAATTGTTTTTCAAGAAAAAGATCACATACATTTCTATTGTTTACATTGGTTTTGAACGACCAATAGGCATAGGCCTAATTAATTATTTCTTAAATTCTGTAACTTTGTTGATTTTTGATGGAGGACTGATCTTGGTATCAATGCATTAATGCTCTTTCAAATGGTACTAGGCCTACTGTAGGTTAGTAGTACTGTAGCTGCAAACAATGGAATTCCTTGCATGCATTTGATTCTTTTTTTTTTTTTTTGTCGCGTACGTAGGCTAGGCCCTACACCGCCTAGGCTTACTTAACTCTACTAGAAATAATTAGTTTTTATTAGGAATTTAAGGGCCTACAGTTTATGCCTAGCTAGGCATACACCAAGATGAATAGGCCTAGCTTTATCTAGCTAGCCTAGTTAGGAGTAGGCCTAGCCTAGGCTCTCTACTAAGGTAGGAGATAGGCGGCCTGTGTCACAATCTGTCTGCAGCGTACAGTGTAGGTAGGCTAGCCTAGCTAGGGCTAGGCCTAGGTTGTTTTTTGTAGCCATATAAAATTGAAAGTTTATGCACTTATTAATTAAAGTATCTAAGCCTCAATTAAACACAATTTAAATAGATAACAAAGCTTACTTGACGTCGCTTAACATAAACTCATTCAGTGTCGAGAAGGCTCATTATATTATTGATTATCTGAATGGCGAAATGTGTAAACACGAAATTTCCTCCTCTCGCGCGTTTTCGTTTTTGGAAAAAATGATGAGAGACGGCTTTGGCCAAATTAACTAAGCAAAATGGCTCGAAAACAAACTGAGAGTGTCTGTTAATTAAATTTTTCATGTTTTAGTCTCAAACACGTCCAAAATCACTGGATTTCGAACCAAACAAGGATTTCCTAATATTAAGCAAAAAGTTGTTATTTAATATCAGGTATATTTTGATAAACAATAGTATGTTTCCCTTTTCTTTTTCTTAACTTTCGCTTGTCATGTGATATTTTCAACTGACAACCAATAAAATCGCAGTAATTGCATGCTGTGGCCAAATTTGGTTAAGTGACTTCCGAATAAGGAAAATTCTTCCAGGGATTGTCTTTCATTTCAATTCCCCTCCTGATCGACCATGCATGACGGACCTCTGTTGGCTCAAATTCATTCAACTGAGAGAGGGCCTAGGCTAGCTACCGGTGTTTTCCAGAAATTGAAATTGTGTCAACAAACATTTTATTAAAAAGTGCTTCTAAATAGCAATTATGGCGATGCTAGGCTTTCAGCAAGCATCGTGTTCCCATGTAGTAGAAGATGCGGTAAGTTTACGTAAGCCAACACATCGGCCCGATCTGGACACCTATTATGAAAGAACACGAAACTGTAATTTGTAAACAAGCTGTTCAATGCCAGCCGAATGTGGCGCGGAGGAGTCTGTGCACAGTGCCTAGGCCTAGTTACGGGAATGCATATACTGTACCTAGGGCCGAGACCTAGGGCCTAGCTAGACTTAGATTGATTAGGCCTAGGCTAATCCTAGTAGCTCAATATTCAAAGTGATTACTATTCATTGTACATAAAAGAAGGGGATGGGGAGGTAGCCCGACTGCAGCTACCCATCCATTTTTTTTCAGGTGTTCATTCAGAATCAGCGATTCGTAAAATCTAGAAAAAAAAAAAAAACATTTTTTCAAAAGAAGCATGTTGAAGCCTATGGCCTACCGTAATAACAATAAAAATAATGGCTATCAGAAAGTATGATGTCAGTCTAAGAAAAGGTGGGCATAAATGGCAAAAATACATTACTAAGATTCATTTTACTTCATTTAAATTATAAAAAACTACTATTTTTACTATTTACCAGCCTCAGTCTGTTTACCATAGGATAGTAAATAGCAAATAGTAAATACCCTCACCAAAAATAATTTAAAATCCCGGACGTGAAACGAACAATTAATTGTATTTGGCCTAGTTGACCTCTGCGCCAGACCAAATTTCCAAAAAAATTGGGATCAGCATTTTTTTATGCAAAGGTTTTACCCTTAAACTCATGACAAATTTAAGAAATAACGCTTCCAAAATAAATATTCAAAACATTATTTTCTAACAAAGACATATTTGACCAATATCATACCATCCATAGTGAACACGACTTGAGAATTGCCTTCAGTGAAAATTTTCAAAATGTGGTTGAAAATGAAGAAAAAAACTTTGATCCCTTCATAATTTTACTCTCTTTTTTATGTATGTGATGACTAGAACTTTGTTGTGAAAAAAATGTTTAGACAGAAGTTTAATGTTTGTTTTATTATTATAATTTTGATTTCAAGTTCCTTCACATTAGTAATAATAACTAAATAATTACTATTCCATTTTTTTTTTTTTCATTACCAGGGCTTGCATCTCATTAAGCGTGCTGATCCTAGTCTGTTGCGTCAAATATTTCACAAGGTAAGAGAAAGATGATGAATTTATTTTTGGATTGGATTTTTCACATTAAGAATATTCCACAAAAGAAGACTGTATTTTTCCAGTCGATTCTTTCTGGTGGTGAATTGGGCAGTTCACTGACAGACAATCCCTTAACTATTTACCGAAGAATGTACAGTTTTCTTTAAAGCTGGGCACTTACTGCGGCCGTGCGGGGGTTGTACGACTGTCACACTACGGTTGTACGAGAGTCGTACCACAGCCCAGCGATAATAAAAATTCAACCAGGGTATTAAGTAATTTTTTTTTTAAAAGGAAGAATTCAAAAAAAAATTTTGGACAGCTAAATAATCTTTCCTTTAAGCCAATTTTTTTTAAATGTACATGCCCGTGTCAAGGTCAGTTTAAATAAAGAAACGTACACGCAAGACAGGTTTGTCGATTGATATTAGATATGTGCATGCGCAGTTCAAACTAGCAATTGGCTTTATAGTATGTTCTTTTGCATAGAACATACTGTAGATCCATTGGCTGGTAATCATTTTAAGGATTTTTGTAGTAAAATGTGTAAATCGATGAAAACTACTTTTTTTGCGAATTCTCATTGGAAGCTAATATATTAGATTCCTTTAAAATGAGCTTTCAAAATTTTGTATGAATTTTTGAGGTATTTTTCCATCTTTTTGACTGTTACTACAGTAGTAGTACATCTTTAGTTGAAGCTTTTTAAGGAAATAAGGAAAAGGCCTGATTTTTCAATGAATTTGAACCCATGATTCTGGGATGTAAAAGAAAGCTCCAAACTCTACAGACAAGGGTTCCTTGGTTGTCTGTCACAAGTCACAGGAGTCCCCAGGAAACTAACCTGTTGCCTGCGATTCATGATCCTTGCATATGGGTCAACACTCAGCACAATGATATTAGCCTAGGCCTATGTGTTTAGTGTTTGGAAATCGAACTCATCTCCTGGAAGTACTACATAGCTTTTCCCAACTTGGGACCACCCCTATACATAGGAAAGTTATGTATATCGAGTAACTAGTCTTGAATTGTCATATTTGTATTGATTTTTCTCATCCACATTTTTAATGAGGCTGATTTATCCAATAAAATGGAGTTATTTTACGGTTGGCAATACAAATTTTGAAATTCATTTAGATAGAGACATTAGTATATTTGTAGGAAGTGTTAGGTTTCATTTCTTAAGTGCAAGGACAAAGCCGCTCCGGACTATCATTTAATATGCATAAATAAGTTTATATTCCACTGCTGTCATTTAGACTAATATGCTAACTATGTTTATCTAAAAATATATATAAAATTTAAATTCAATGTTTTGAATTTCTCACTTATTGAAATAGCGATTCATTATATTTTAACTTGTTAACAATGTGGCTCGGTGCACTATGTGCTTAGATCCTCTCAAGACTCTACTTGTCTCGCCAACCCCACAACAAGCGGATTGTTTTAAGAAAGGTCATTTAAGTGGGCCAAAATTATGAAACAGCCTGCCAACCAGTGTGTGTGAAATGGTTTAAAAAACTTCCTAAAAAGTGTGTCTTTCCAAAGGAGTAGGTCTTTTTTATATTTTTGTGCTGCTCTTTGTTTACTGATAATTGTTGTTTTTTGCCTTTTGTGAGCAATTTTTATTTAAAAAAATACCGAACAATATGTGGGCCGTGTATTCATCTATTTACTTGATGCTGGAGGATTAAAAATCTAATTTCTGTGACCTTGTCCTTTGACGTTTTCTTCCCATAATTGAATCATTCTCTTTCTTTGAATATTATATATCATTCCACTAAATTTTATGATAATCTATTCGTTAGTTTTTGCGTAATCTTGCTAACAGACAGCAGTGAATTATAAATACTAACCTCCTTTGGCGGAGGTAATTTTTTTTCCCACAAAATCTTCAATGGTACAAATTGGAAACATTTGTAAAACATGTAAGGTACATCATGATTTTGCTTTGTCTTTTTAAAGTTTACCAAGTAGAGAGAATCTACTCAATTAGATTTTCCGCACATAAATACATCACCTAGCAATTAATTGCAATATAACTTCTCTAGAAGACGCAAGTACAAAATTTACCATTTGGTTGATTACTTACAGTATGCCAGCATTGAATCTGAAACTGGTGAGAAGTTCATGACTGAGGAAGACTTGATACGTGGCTACCTTGGCATGCAGCCTGAAAGAAACTACAACCAGTCGACAATGAAGCTGCTGGCAGGAGTTGTAGACCAGACTAAAGATGGGTAATTAAACATTAAATATCCAATTATAAAGGTGGAGTTTGGAATGGTGGTGGCAGTTCTGACTGTCATGCTGGTGGTGGCAGAGGTAGACAAGGTATACTGTAGCAGAATATATTTGATAGTAAAACCTGTGGCAGTTTAGTAGGGCTTCACAATACTATTTGTGCAAAAGGTGATGCTAGTTGTGTGTGGAAATAGTTTGATAGGTACTGTAGATCTATGTTTGCAAAACCATTCAGTAGAACTTGTGTGTGTAAGTCGGCTAGGTGTGTAACCTCGACAGGTAGTTTTGTGTTGTATGACCTCGATATGTAGGGTTGTCACTTACCATTACTTACCATTGCACAATGCTATTTGTGCAAAATGTGATGTTAGTTATGTGTGGAAATAACTTGATAGGTACTGTAGATCTATGTTTGCAAAATCATTCAGTAGAACTTGTGTGTGTAAGTCGGCTAAGTGTGTAACCTCGACAGGTAGTTTTGTGTTGTATGACCTCGATATGTAGGGTTGTCACTTTTACACTAGTTAAGTGGATTCTAAAAAGGTTGGGGAAGTAAAAAATAATAACTTCCAATGGTTTAGGTTCTTACGCTAAGACCAGAAACATTTGATGTTTTTGACTTTAGCGGAGTACACCTTGTCAAGATTATTCAGAACTAAAAAATTTTAAAAAAAATGTTTGCCCTTCTCATAGCATGAAGTGAAATATTAAAAATATTTCAAACCATTTTAAAAAACATACATAAAATATTATAAATATTTAGTTAAATTTAACGAAGTAACAGATAGTTATAAATTCTGTAAGTTAGTGACAGCCTATATGAGTTTCGTTTTTTTTATAGAAAGATATCATACTCCAAGTATTGAAATGCACGCCATCGTGTCGGGAATCCATATTTCAACATTAATTATGTCATCATCATTATGTCATGATTCCTGATGATGACATAATTAATGTTGAAAAATTGAAGCCCGACACGAGGGCGTGCATTTCAATACTTGGAGTACTGTATGTACAGTATTATACTATCTTATCTTATCTAAGATTAATCGGTGGACTTTTCGGTTTTTAGAAAGATATCATTTATGGAGTTTCAAGCGTTTGAAGCCTTACTGTGTTCACCCGATGCCTTACACATGGTTGCCTTTCAGTTGTTTGATACTAATGGATCAGGCTTTGTTTCTTTTGGTAAGTACATGTAGATGATCATTCTGGCATCAAAAGAACAGTGGCGTATCCAAGGGGAGGGGGGAAAACTTCGAAGCAAAAAAAAAATAGGCTAGGCTTATGCTTATGCTGTCACGGTTAACGTGTATTCGCGAATCTAAGAAGCAATATTTTTCAGTGGCCGTGGCCACCAAAAATAAATTCCACGCCCCCTCATATTTTGGTCGCGCCCCCCCACCAGCCCCCCATTTTAATACTGCTAGATACGCCACTGCAAAAGAATGCACTTATACAGTAATAATATAGTATTTCATTTCATGAACTTCGTTTGAGTTTTTCCTGTAGTAGTAAAACTTTATTCATTGAATTCCATATAAATTTATTTGCAAAACAAATATAAGTTTAATATAAGATAAAATGAGAAGACACATAAAAAATGACAATAGTAAAAATATTAAAATCTTCAAAAAGCGACATTCTCAAATAAAAAAAAAAGACACATAAGGTGAACCTCACAAAATAAAACATTAAAATTATTATCTATTCACAAAGCACAAAACAAACAACAAATACATGCTGTTTTCCATCAATGGTGTGAGAAACTATACAATTATGTTCATTTTATAACACATTGCATTATGGTCATACAAAAGCAAAAGTTTCACACTGAAAATTAAAAAAGATAAATTCATACTATAATTATTTTACTTACAAAGATTGTCAAAAAACCTCCCAAAACACACACACAAAAGAAACTTCCCATAAAACATGCATAAAAAAGTCTACAATTTTAGTTTAAAATTGTATAAAATCATAAATACCTAATGATTTCATCAACTTTGTTTTAGTTTTTTTTCTGTAGTAGTAAAACTTTATTCATGAAGCAAATACATGCTGTTTTTCATCATTGTCAATTTTTTTATTGTTATTATTTTGATATTTAAAAATATCAACATACAGTAGAACCTCGATTTTACGTACGGCACGTGACCGGAGGGCGTACATAAATCGGGGGATTCGTAAAATAGAGGTTGGGTTAAATTTGTGGTAACCTTTGACCTAATACGTACGTAACGCTCAATATACGTATGTATGAACGAACGATGTTACCTAGCTAGGCTAGACCTAGCCTCTAGGCCTACGAATAAAACCATGTGTTTAGCGATTTTATTCATCACTTTACTATGTCATAATAAAGTGTTGAAATAAAGCCATGTGTCTAGTGTATTAATTCATCACTTTATGTCTTTTATTTAACAAAAGAACATGAAAATATTGTAAGATTACCTATAGGACAAAGGTATAACTTGGGAATTCCCCTTCATGCCTATTCTAAACAACAGAGCTGTGGTGTTGTCTGGGCCTGTTGAGACAAACTAAACCCATGTGCACTGGACTGGG